TTTACCGTGGTAACGGTTAATATGTTGCACCAGCTTTTCCGCGGCCGAGCTGAAAAGTAGGCCGTACCGGATATTCAGGTCTGAGGAGTATGCAATTATCACAGCAATCGTTGAAGTCTCAGGGAGAAGAACGCCACTGTGTATCCTTTTGAACGGTTTGGATGTGAACTTTGGCCATTGCTTCCAAATGGGAAGTATTATCAAAACAGTCATAATCAAAGGACGATGAGTCTATCATATGCGTTTATGACGAATATATGCTTAAGAGCTTAGTCTGACGGACAAAGACTAAAGTTCGTATTACTTCTCCAAGATCCCCTGAGAAAATCTTTTGACGATGTTGTCCACCTTTTGAACTGAGAACGATTGATCCTCGTACAAGAACAAATTATAGGGTAGAACATGCTGCTCGCATGATCATGTATCTACCAAATATACGGAGCTAGAAGCACAGAGAACACCAATCCAAGTGAAGCACAGTAATGTTCTCTCGTCACTATTGTTCTTCCCATTCTGGACCTCAGAAAGCTGCAGCACTTTAAACCGAATTACAAATGGCCTCACTTAGCAGTGTTCAGAACGATGGAGATGTATGGTTTCAAATTCGTTCAGTTTATTGGATAGTAGAAACGTGTTTCCACCTTCTATTCTTCTTCTTTTGCTACATGCACTAAAATGAACTTTATTTACGTCACCCTGATCTCGTAAGAGCGAGGCAGCGAAGGGAGGTGAACATTATTTCATGAACCCGTTGAACCCAAGATGCATATCATATATGCCACTTTACTAGTTTCACCCGAACAAATCGCACAGTCCCTTGATTATGAACATTTTTGAAACATTTTATGGGGGTCATCGTTTTGTCACGTTATGTTGAAACGTCACGTTATAAAAATGTGATGAAATAGGTTGTCAGTAAGGGACACAGATCAAGCCAAGTACCATCGTCGGAGAAACTGAGAAAGACAAATACAAAAAAAGAAACAAAAGCAGACAACGTTCAAATAGCCAAGAAGAGCAACATCGATTTGTTGCTTGTTTGAGTAGTAGCTAATGGCCCTCGCTTCTCGGTCCAAGATTTAAGACGACAATTATGGGAACAGCGATGCAGGACGATGAAAAATTTTCACTTACTGACGCTCCTTAATTGCTGCCTTGAACCATGGATCAGGAATTCATAAAGAGACATGCTTCCCATATAAAATATGTACAAACGTCTGAGTAGCTAAGACGCAGATGTAGTACACATCAAAGAACGATTATAAGTTTTAAAACGTTACAGACGAGAGGACTACCGGTCCACTATCATGCATTGACGTTTTATACCAAAATCCTTATGTGCTTAGGGTTATGATTCTAAGAGTAATTTCCTCATAACTCTGAATCATCTCACCAGGGTATGATAAAGAATTGCTCGAAGTAAATATTTCATTTTTATTCTTTCGTCCGTTGCATCAGGAAACATAGTCATTTCTGTCATGATGAACTCATGTACCATGTTTAACTTTAACATATGAATTGAGATGCATTGTCCTCACATGACAGCATCACGTGTGGAATGTCTCTATTTCGTTTTTTCGAGCAAAACTGACTGCAATAGAGATGGAGATTGAAAAAGGAGGCCATCTGTGCGAAGCCAATTGGTTGAGCAAGACACAGTTGCCCCCAGTCCATCAGCTTCCGGGAGTTAAAACACGGGCGGCAGACGTCGAGAGGAGGTGAGCATGCAACCTGGAGGGACAAAATAAACAAAGGTCTGTTCTCGAATAGGAATATTTCCTACTGCAATGCATTAACTGGTGCCTCATAGCAGAAATATTAAAAAGCGGCGACGCTGAGGGCGTTCTGCCTATGCAAACAGCCTAAGTGGACGACCTCAGCAAACAAGCTGCACGCAAACTCATTATCTTAAAGTGGAAGTACTTCATTCCACGCTGCCTCATATCCTCATTTATGTATTTCATGAACGATTCAAAGTGTAATCAAAAGCGCATTAACGAATTAACGTATTTCTACTTCAAAATGAGCACATTCAACACCGGCCCGTCGATTGCAAGATTGTCGTTCGTCATTTGCCGAACTTAGCCGTGACTTTCAAACGCAGAACGCCATATTTATCGATGCAGTTCGGAGCCAATGTACTTTGATCACAGCTAATTAAGACTTTTTTTTCATATGGCCGTAATCCCTGCTTCAGGGATCACAACCATGTGACGATTTCGGTAGATGGTTCAATTAAACAGACAGCGAGTACACCGTTGACTCCGTGTATGAGCGTATTGAAAAATACCCTTCAAGCTAAACGGAGTTCACAGTTCTGTGGCGGAAGAGAAAAGTCGATTTGTTATTTTAAAAAAATCATCTTTTTATGCCACAGCTCCGGATGAGTCAACGCAGGGGTGGTCCATTCAGCTTCGTTAAGCCAAAAGTCGAAACAAAACTCTCGGACACGAGCAATCTTCGGGTGTCTCGAAAAATGACGGTTAAACGACGGCGACCGTCACCTCGACCGACTGTTCGAAACTAGTAACAGTACCTCAGACGGGTGGTTCGTTGGTGCGGCAGCAGGCTTTGCAAATCGCTCTCGTTATTTGTCTGGAATTACGCGAAGAACCGTGAAGATCGGCCATGCGAACGAATTCTCTGTTCAACCCGGACGAAACCCGAAGTAGACTCTGCGACTTCCTCACTCCCTCCTGGCATTTCATTCACAACATTAAGTCATCGCATGAAAAGCGGAGAAAACATACGTATCCCGAAGCTAAACACTTTTTCATTCACGAAACATTACCGGATTTAATATACCTGATTTGATGCCGAAAAGATGACCAGTGGCTTTGTAAACAAAAACCGTGGGAGCTGTGACACAGTTGCTTTGTAGTTTGCTTTGAACATAACTTTTCTCTTATTAATTGCCAATAATTTTATGAAAGGAACTCACCCCTCCGTGGTTTGGTGCAACCAGCCGGAAAACGAGTTACAGTCGCTGACCTGCCAAACATACGGACAGCGTGATGCTTTGGCGAGATAAGGCTTAAGCTTGTGGACATAAGATCATACTCTCTGACGCGTGAGCTTCATGCACGCAATTCACCCTGACCCGTCTGACAGC